TAGAAGCTATTTCTGGTTCTTACAGAGAAAAACCACTTTTCCTGTGGGATTTATGTTGTTCTATATTTAGAACACCTTAAAATGCACTAATGGTCGAAAGAAGATCATTTATGATTTCTCTTTCTTTATTTTTAAGCTGATGAAGACTAGAGTGGGAACATGTAGTCGTTTGCAGTATATCCTGCACAGGGCATAGGATGAGGGTCACGCTTTGATAAGTACCAAAGTCCCCAACCAAATCTCTGCCTCCTTTAGCTAATCTGTGCTCCCTTGCCCTGATACCCTGTGGCTGCGCTTGGTTTCACACCACAGATCAAATGCAGCTCGTTGCTGCCAACTGGAAGTAAGGTTTCCTCCTATCTTCTTGTTCTTTAATTACTTTTCCAAAGAACTGAAGCAATCCCCTTCTCCAAAACCACACTGCTGTGTTAAGGGGGAGCTGCTGTTGTCTCTCTGGGTACTGGTTCAATGTTTCCTCTTGCTGCTGGCGTTTTCCTTCCCAAAATGAGCAAATCTCAGCATGGAAATGAATAAAAACGGTGAAACATGTCTGCAGGGAGAACCAGGTTGAACTGCAGTGGTCGGGAGGACCCACTTCATGTAATCCCATTTACACCTGTGTTATGCTGGCTAGTGAGATTGTGTTCTAATAAGCTTAAATAATAGGTTTTGCTGACCTGACTGCTTTTGATGGAAAAGGGTTAACATTTCCTCATATAGGAGGTCCCCTGAGAGGATGGGCACAAACAGGACTGGTGAAAGCAGCTTTAAATGGCTCAGGGTAACAGCTTCCCCATCTCCCCATCTGGTGGAAGAGAATGGGAGCTGAGATGCATCTATGCTGGCCATGGGCTATAACCCTGCTGCCAGCTTTGTGGAGGGTATTGAGTGTCTATAGGGTGTTAAGTGCCTCTCTTGTAGAAGTCCAGGGTCACCTCATGTCCCAGTGCAACCTCAGGCTTTGGAGGTGATCCCACAAAGCTTCATCCAGAAAGGGGCAGACTTCAAGGTCAGCTTTTCTCCATTGCTATGTCCCTCTGCCTGCCTTTTGTTGGTCCTTCTTGAGAGAGGGTTTGGGGGTGAAATAAGGTTTATTCCCATCCAGATATGTCTTACAAATCAGAAGTACAAAGAACTAGGAAGTGAGTGACCAAGTCAATGTCCCACATAGCTAAAGACATCTCAGGTGCCATTAGATGCCAGTCTGCTTTCATCTGAATCAAGCTCAGGATGGACCAGTGGCCTTGTCCTGGGGAAGTATTTCTGCTTAGTTCAATGGACACAGGGCCAGGTTAAGCTATGGTGGACCTTCTGGAGGGCTCTGCAGTTGGATGGAGATGTCAAAGTGCCCTGGGAAGCTGGGAAAAGGCAGTTAGAGAAAGGGAGGGAAAGGCCAAAACAATGAAGGTGTTCAGAACCTTCATGCAAGAAGAGTGAAGGGGCAGATAAATAGGAAAGGAAAGGAGAGATCTGCAAGGGGTGATGGCAGAATGGGAAAATTCAACAAGGAAAACAACTGGGAACCTGATTTTGGACAAGAGGAAACGTGGCTCCAGTGATTTTGGGGCTGGGCTTATCAAAGGAGAGCATTTATCTTGGAGTGGGAGTGATAAGAACCATCATGGCACAACTGGTCTGAATGAAACCTCATGTAGCATCCTTATTGCCTCCAGGGACCATTCCCAACCTCTCAGCCCCATGACAGCTCTGCTGTGTCTCTGCACCAGCCCCATCTCTGCTTTGTAGGCCTCAGGCTAGTGAAGAACAAGGGCATGAAAAACAAGGGCTGGTTTCCTTTCAATGGTTTCTCAAGGCAGAGGTGGTTGGGGATCAGCAAACACTGCTGAACCTCGCCCTGCTTTTATCTGATGAATTATGTGTTGGGACCGAGGCATTTTGCTAAATATTAAGCCTGAAGTTTAGAAAAAGGAAGGTCTTTCCTCCCCAGGAAGGTTGGCATTGAGGCGAGTGAGGACTGCCCATGAATGCTCCTCTTTGTTTGCCTTCCCTTACTCTCCCTTGATTGCTTTAAAATATTGCTGATTGCTTGAGTAGCTGAGAAGCCTCTCTTGGAACGGTCCCAAATATGCTTCAGCACAGTTTATTTCTATGATTTGCACTTGGCCTTGTTTGATATTCCCCCCTTTCCTTGGTTGACAATTAAAGAACCGATTTCATTCCTCAGCCCTGCTCCATCCCTTTGATGGAGGCTGTTTGGCTCTAGGGTTTGGTAACAACATACAGGGTTGTTCAGCTCCAGGTGTTCACTGAATATAAAACTCCTGCATGAACTGAGAACAGTTCCTTGGAGAAGGGTGGCACACAAATAAGTTAGCAGCTAGGTTGGCCCCATCTCTACGGCCCCACACTGAGATGGAGATGCTGGACACTTGGTTTCTTCTTGTTGCTCAGTGTGGTCATCCTTGCGGATTAGGACAGAGGAGCTGGATGTGGTCATGATGCAGGTGCCTGTAGATATCCCTGAGCTAGTGCCAAGGAAATTAGGCTTGAGAATGGGAAATTTCATTTCAGCTGTGCTGGGTTATTAACTGAGCAGCACTGCTCTGCCACCCCAGCTAGCTCACTTATGTACCACATAATCAGGTGTTACAGATTTATCACAGAATCATGGAATGGTTTGTGTTGGAAGGGACCTTAAAGCTCCTCCAGTTCCAACCCCTGCCAGAGGCAGGGACCCCTTCCACTAGAGCAGCTTGCTTCAAGCCCCTGTGTCCAACCTGGCCTTGAGCACTGCCAGGGATGGGGCAGCCACAGCTTCTCTGGGCACCCTGTGCCAGCGCCTCAGCACCCTCACAGGGAAGAGCTTCTGCCTAAGAGCTCATCTCAGTCTCCCCTCAGGCAGGTTCAAGCCATTCCCCTTGGCCTGTCCCTACAGGCCCTTGTCCCAAGCCCCTCTCCAGGTTTCCTGTATCCCCTTTTAGGCACTGAGAAGCCAACCAGGAGGCCTGGACACATAGGATGGCCAGCCTCATCATCACTGTGACTCTTGGTGCAGGCTGTAGATGAGACTGACCCCCATCATGCTGCAAACTGCCTTATGATTAGTGACCCTGGAGACAGAAAAGGGCAAGAGAACCCATTGGGTTGCTTTTTGTATTCCTTCTGAATACAGCAAGAAGCCACATATGCCCAGGAGGAACTCCAGTGGACCTGGATTAAAACCACAACTCCTGCCATAGCTTTGGGCACCTCCAAATGCCAATGGCAGCCCTGCTCTGCTGGAAATGCACTTGAGCTGCATGGCACAAGCATCTCCTGATTGCCCCACTCAGGGCTTGTGAACAGATTCAATTGCTGAATGCAGATACAATTGCAATTAAGCCTATTCAGCCTGATAACGAGGCATTCAGGGCTTTAGGGAGCTTTATATGGTTCAATTAGATTCAGTTGTTAAGCCTGAGCCTTAAGGAGTGCTCCTCTGAAGCCTGGGATCTGCAGGCAATCCTACTGCTTAAATCCTGGAGAGCTTTGGGTGATGTTTTCAGCCAGGAATGGTCTGAGTAGAGGGAAGAAAATGGGAGTATATATGGTCAGGAAGCAGTTAATCATTCAGATACTTTACTGGAGTGGGAAAACATCAGCCTAAGTGTTCTCCCTGCGGGCTCAAGCTGGTGGGGAGGGATGGGAAGAGCTGCACTGCTCTATCCTTACTGTTAAACCTACACACCTGGAAGCAGACACTGATTTATGTCTTCTAGCAGCCGTTTGAGGGTCCTCTTATTTGCTGATGGGGCTGTGATGGTCCCAGAAGCAGTAATAAAACGTGGAGCCCTGAGGATGCTTTGTACATCCTCTTCATCTATCTCCCCATCCCCTTTGGCTTCACCTGGACCTCCAGGGTCAGGATGGGGCTGGGATTCTCTCCTGCTTCATATCTCAACCCAGTGTGCTCCTGCTCACCCTGGGGCTCCTGTCTTTTACTCTTCCCTTATGTCTTTGACCTCTTTGTCCTGTTCATTATCACTTGGCCAGAGGCTGGGATGGATAGGACCTACTGTGATATGACCTGTTCTTCACTGGAGTTCTCAGGACCCCTGGCACTGCAAAACAACTGGTGATGTGGGGAACAGCCCCTGTTTTGAGCACCAAAATCAGGATTTTGGGATGTGGAGTCCCTGGTTCTTCCACTGGGTCTTTTCCTGAGCTGAAAGCTCTGTTTATGTGGTGTAAGCTCAAGGGGTGGCTGAAGGGGTTTTCACCCCACTACTGGACTGCTGTGGGGTGTATCTGGCTTTGATGGATGTCGGGGGTGATTGTGGATGGGGATCCTTTATGCTTCATGAAGGTGATATGTTGCAAGTGCTCCTCAGGCCCTCTTAGGCACTGATCTCCTTCCTAGTAGCAGGGTGCTTCATCTTCCAGTCTCACCCATTCTCAGCCCTGCAAAGAGAGCCTACCCACCTCATCTAGAGCTTTGTGGTCACTCCACCATCCCCATGTGGCACTGGTGTCCTTTTTGGGGTCATTTCTCACATATGGTAAATACTATGGGGTCATTTTCCATATATCCAACAGGGTTTGCTTATCAAATACACCTGCATCCCCTTCACCGCCCTGTGCCTCAGTTTCTTAATATCACTGCTAACATCCTCCATCTCTAAAAAGCTCTTTGCTGTTGTGAGGTGAGACAGATAAAGTGAAATCATGATTTACCTTGAGACATCTTGACTCCAGCCCCTCCATACCCTCCCAGCAATGTCAGACCCCTGAATCAGACCCATATGTCAGTTTTGCACCCCGCTTCTGGCATTTCCCATCTTCTCCTGCTGCTAATATCAACCTGAGCTCTTTGACCTCCTGGAAATAGAGCCTTTCCCTCCCTTCCTCCCAACCTTTTCCCCACACTGGCCCCTTCCTCTGCAAACATCCCAGTTATTTTATTACTATTTTGTGCCCACAAGGTAAGGATTTGTGTTTTCCCTCCCCTCCTCTTCACTCCAGCATTCCTATGGGGTGGCATCCCCTATCCCAGCCTCACTGCTTCCATCCCAGCTGCTGGCCCTCAGAGAAGGAGTCGGAGGTGGAAGGGGGGGAATGCCCGGAGCAGCCCCTCCTCCTGCCTCATAACTTCTTCTTCCAAGCGTGGAGGGAGTTTCACTGCAGCCCGACCGATGCTGATGCCTGTTCCTGGGGCTGTTGGACCCTCTCATCCATAGGGAGAAGCCAGCGTGCGGTGGTGTGGCCCAGGTAAGCAGTGCTCTCTGTCTGTCCCTCGCTGTCTGTGTGTCCATCTGCCCTGTTACTGAGTTTTCTATGCTCTGTTGTGTGTGTTTCTGCTCTCCCCATTCTCGGGTTGCAGTGAAATGAACCGTGGCATCAAAGGCGTGAGAATGGGATGGGGGTGATGGGGAGGATGAGGAGGATGCAGAAAGCCTCCCACCTTCCCTGTGCATGGCACAAACCCTTCACTGCTGTTTCAAAAGTGTCTGAGATGCCCCAAACTTGCCTGAAATCTGGATTTTTGGGTGAATTTGCACTTCCCATGATGGGGGGGGTGGCTCAGGGGCATCAGCTGGTTGTGGAGGCAGGGAGAGATGGTGAAGTGCTGTTGTGTGCAGCACATGGTGGGTTGGTTTGGGGGGGGTTGATGTGTTGTGGGAGGAATTGGGTTCCTGTTGCTTTCTTTGAGGCACACACGATGTCTGAGCATTGCAATGGGCAGAATCTGGCCCCAGTGAATTTCCCACCAGTGGAATAAGGAGCTATTCCTTAATACAGAGTTAGTTTTCTTCTGATCTTGTTCAGTTGGATTGTGAGAGGTGGATGGTGGTGAATAGCAAGAGCTGAAAGCAAATCCTGGATCAAAGCTTTAACAGCAGCGGAGCAGACCCCACTGGAACTGGGTATAACTGCAGACAGAATGGGTATTTCAGTGGTTTATGGGAGAAGCAGCAGAAAGGGATGGTCTGGGACCATTCCTGTCTGGGGAAGAAGGATGATTTCAGGGGTGGGATTCTGCTTTCCTACATCTGGCCCAGACTAATGGATCTTTGCAATGAATGCAGTGATTGCTTGAGTGCAACCACATGTGTGTAGCTCCTGATTCGAGGGTCTTTACTGACCTAGCATCAAGTCACACAACCCAGCTTTTCCTGCCTCAGTAGTGGTTATGGTGACTGAGATCCTTCAGCACCAGCCTCCCCTATGTCCCCCTGTAGATGCTGACATGATGTCTCGCAGGGAGCAGCAGTGATTAGCAATTCCAGTTGGCTGCTCTCCATCATAGGCCCAAAATAATGTGATTTCTGCTTGCAATCAGGGATTACAAGAAAGTGCCTTTCTTCCGGGGAGAGGAGAAAATTGGCCACCAGGCAGATGATTCATGGGGTGTCTGCAGAGTCTTTGTGGCTCTAATAAAGTGATGGAGCCGGCAGAAATCGCTCCATTGCATGGATCAGGAGGAGCAGAAACGGGATGGATGATGCAGACATCTGTTCTCCTGAATCTAGTTGAAGATATCCCTCCTCATTGCAGGGGTGTTGGACTAGATGAACTTTGTAGGTCCCATCCAACCTAAACCATTCTATGATCATATGATTCAATGATTCCAGTGCCCCAAGCAGCATCATGTGCATGGGGAGACGCATTGGGTCAGGAGGTGCTTAAGGCTGTATTTGTGAATATGAGGTTGGAACATGAATATGGGGCCATGTCCCCACCTGCAGGTCCTGGCACTGTCCTCAGTCTGGTTTATACAGTGGGAACTGGTGGGGTGGTATCTCCTCTCCAGAAGCTGTTTGGAACAGCAGCTACTCAGGGCTTTCTCACTGGAGCAGCACTGTCAGCTCTCCCTGCTCTTAAATATCAGTGCACTGGGGCTCATGACTGGAAGTGGGTTTACGTGTATGGAAGCTTGTCTGCTTTTTCCACCCAGCTTTCCCAAACACTGCTTATGTTTCAGCAATGCTCAGATCTTCCTGTCCCAAATAGTGCCTCTCCACCAGATTTGTTCCTCTGGCCCTGATAGTGGATAAGGGAAAAAGAGAAGAAAAGCAGCAGGCATCTCCAGTTCCTCTGTCTGGCTACCTGGACCCTTGCTCCTGCTCATGATGTCCCCTTTCCCATAGGAGAGGTAGGGAGCAGACCTGCAACCACTGCTGGAGGGAGCCAGAGCTAGGACCTGGGGACCTTTCACACCTGTGCTTTGGAATAGAGCTTCCCCTGGGGAGACCATTTCATGGCTGGCAGGGACCAGGGCTGCTCAAACAGGGAGCAGAGGTCTGTGTAAATGGGAAAGCTGGGGAAGGATGGCTGAGTGCGACTGTTTGCTGGGATAAATGGTGTTTTGAGTTTACCGTAGCACCAGGAGGTGGTGCAGGTGGTGGTGAAAGGAGTGTGATGTGTTCATTTCAGGCTCACCTTCGAGTGGAAGGAAGGCAATAAAGAAATGCGTGTGAAAAGTGAGAGATGTGGGGTTAAACCCTTCCACAGACCCCCCTGGTTGGCTCCAGCTCATGGACTGGTTGCTCTTGCCCTGGCTGGGAAGTGGGTGCCTCTTTCCAATTCACTGTCTATAAGTCCTTATTCCCTGTGTCTTGGGCGAGCACAGACCCAGCAGCAACCTGAGAGGAGTGTCCAAAATGGGTTTAGCTGCATCCATGGGAGCTTTGATTGGAGCATCCTGCTGAACAGGATGGACAGTTGGTCCATAAAACCCTGTCTAGATGGATACAGGGAGCCAGTTCTCAGTTCCTCAACCATTAACACCAGGTTATAGTGGGTATAAAATATGATTGCATGGAACAACAAGTTTGTAGAGAGGTAAAAATAATGGTGTATAGTAAAAATGGCAAGTTATGCCAGTGCTGTATGAACAGGGAGATGTCAGCCTGTCACAACACACTTGCTTCAATGCCCCAGCAACTCAGCCAGTGCTGAACATGAGACCTGGGAGACCAGAATAGTCCAAATCAAGATGTAAAACTAGTGGCACCATCTCAGCAGGATGCAAATGTCAGAGAAATATGGGAAGGTGCATTTGGGAAGGGTTTCACTTGGTTAATAGGAACTGAAGCTGAGATCTGTGGTGGTTCCATCCCTTTCAGCAGAGACTGTTAACACAAAGGCAGCCGGTACTTGCATTGTGACCATGTCAGGGGACAGCAGGGAACATTCAGGGCCCATCCTCATCCTAGGAGGCTTTGTCAAGCATAGTCTGTAGGGGTCATCTGTTACGGTGAGTTTGTGGTACCCCACTGAGGTTGGCTCCTGAGCAGGGTGTAGATTTAGGCTGTAGGTCCTGGAGGGTGTCTGTGAGGTTCGATGGGGTTGAAAGAGCAGATTGGCAGGGTTAGGCTGCCTGCAATGGGTCCTGAGCAGAAGATGGGGCATGCAAGTCCCATGCACAAGCCCTTCTTCCCTTGCTTGCTCCGACATGGTCCTTGTTCCAGCAAGATGGAATTGAATAGCCTGGAGGCAGTGAAATGGCATCAGCCCAGAGGCAACAGGGCTCTGCTTGTGGAATTTATCCAGCCACAAAACCAAGAGGCTCACGGGAGATGCGGGACCTCAGGCTGGGATCTGTGTTTTCTTTGTCCCAGCTCCCAGTCCCCTCAGTCCTGCTCAGGAGCACTTTGCAATGTTAATACCATGGAAAAGATCCAGCCTAAGTGAGTAACCTGAGGCATGCCGCCTGGCTGCCAGCCCAGCAGTCAATCCCTTCATCAATTGACTTCCTAAGCCTTTTTTTTCCACCAACATCCCCGCCACCATCTATTGATCTCCTTGTCTAGAAGTATTGCCTTTGACTCCATCAATACATAATCCCATGGGACCTTTCACCTTCTTTATGGGAAGACAGAAGCATCATCTCATGAATGCCCCTGATGACAACAGGGTGAAAACCCCACAAATACACTTAAAACTGTGGTACCCATTCAATGGGCAGCTCCTGTCTCTGTGCCACACGTGCTGAGGGATCTCCCATCACCTCAAAGCCCAAAGCAGGGAGGCTCATTTAAAAGATGAGCATTAAACTGAATGGAGGCAGCAGAAAGAAGCTGAAGTTGGTTTCGAGGTGTTCCCCATGTCTGGGAATGCACTTAAGTACTATTTAACCACCATCACTTACTTCTCTTTCAGGTTTTTCTCTTCCAAGTGTATCACACATTTTTAAGTAGGATTCACATTGTGATGCTTCTCAGCTTGTGGATGCCCAGGTGATGCTATCAAAGGCTGTATTAGGATCAGAAGCCCAGTGGGGAGGCCTATAGGGTTGAAGCAGAGCCATTTGTTCCATGTAGACCTCTGATGAGCAGTGAAAACCCTCCTTCAGAGTTACCCACCCCAAACCTTCACTGTGCTCTTGGCGTTGTTTGCAAGAAGGAGAGATTAGGGGTGAGGAGCAAACCCTCCATTGCTGTTCCCAAGCAAAACCATCAATCCCCCTCAAAACTGGGTCTCTGGGAGAGGAAGGAAGAGACTTGCTGGAGATGACCTTCACCAACCACCATCCAATTGTAACATTCAGCTTGGAAAGGTTTCCAAGTTCAGCTAGCAAGGTATTTTTCCTATTGTTAATGTGAAAACCTGACATGTAGGGAGTCACCGTGGTGCGGAGGAAAGGAGAGGAGGGTCCAGCTTTCATTTACAGGATCATAAGGTATTGCTGTGCTTTTCCCCTTGCTTCCCATTCTAAGCTGCAGTGCTCCATCCAGTGCTCCTGGATGCTGCTTGGGTAACTTCTGCAGGAGGAGGAAGGTGGCAAAACCAGCCCCAGTTGGACCCTACTCTGCATGTTGTCCCATACTGGGGGAAGAGAACCTGCCAGTTATCTCCACCTGTTTGTCACCTTTCCATTAGCCTTGCTGCCCTCTCCCCAGTTGGGAATGGCCCAGATCCCAAGGAGTTCTCTCCTCCATGAAGTTTTGCCCTTAACTGGTTGTTTCCATCAGATCTGAGCAAATCCTAACCTTTGCTTTGCTCCTTGTTGTGTGACTCCAGTATGAACACTGCAGAAGCTGCACAGTAGGATATTGGAGCCTGATGGATGAGAAGAAGATGGGCACAAACGACCCCACGCCATGTCTCCCACCCTGGAGGAAAGCCATAGCCAACCTTTGCCATGCTCTAAGGAGACCTATTGAGATATTAATCCAGCTGCTTTTATACATGATCCTCATCTCCCCACCACGTTTACGATGGGAAGCAACGGCTCTGGGGTCTAAACCTCATGTTGGTGGGACTGG